CGGGAACCATGTCCTTGTAGGAACCAACGTCTCCCCAATCAATTCAATCAAAAAGTTTTTTTGTTTTTTTGTTTGTTTTTTAAAGGGAAAGGAATAGATATACTTCGTTGTGGCCCGCATTTCTGGCCCAGAGCCCCTCGAACCCTGGGCCACGAGGGGGCGGGTGGGCTCCTGCCCACCACACCTGAGTCTGTGCGAACAACCTGGCCTCAGGGAGCCGGGAGCCGGGGCTGGTTGCCATGGCAGCCACGCTAAGGAGAGGTTGGAACTTTCCGTCCCACATCCCCCTCCAGGGAGCTGAGGGAGGCTGGGGACTGAGCCAGGCTCCCGTAACCCATGGTTTAAGCAATTGGGGTTTTTGTTGATTTTTTAAGAAAAAAAAAAATATAAATTTATATATTTCAGAGAGGAAGGAGAGGGAAAGCGAGACGGAAGCAAAGATAAGAGAGAATCATTAACCCTAGCCAGTGTGGCTCAGTGGATAGAGCGTCCGCCTGTGGACTGAGGGGGTCCCGGGTTCGATTCTGACCGAGGGCACATGCCCAGGTTGCAGGCTCGATCCTCCCTCCTCCGTAAGGGGCGTGCAGGAGGCGGCCAATCAATGATTCTCTCACCATTGATGTTTCTGCCCCTCTCTCTCCCTTCCTCTCTGAAATCAATAAAAAAAAATTTTTTTAAAAATGTATAGAGAAGGGATCTCGGGTCCTTCCGAGGTGTCCCACGCCAGCATGATGCACTTTTCCGTGGAAAGCGTTTATGAAACCCCCCTGCGTGCGTGGCTCAGGGGTTGAGCACCGACCTAGGAACCAGGAGGTCAGGGTTCGATTCCCGGTCAGGGCTCAGGCCCGGGTTGTGGGCTCCATCCCCAGTGGGGGGCGTGCAGGAGGCAGCCGATCCATGATTCTCTCTCATCATTTAAAAAAATATATATTTTATTGATTTTGTACAGAGAGGAAGGGAGAGGGATAGAGAGTTAGAAACATCAATGAGAGAGAGAGAGTCATTGACCAGCTGCCTCTTGCACACCCCCTACCGGGGATATGCCTGCAACCAAGGTACATGCCCTTGACCGGAATCGAACCCGGGACCTTCCAGTCCCCAAGCCGACGCTCTATCCATTGAGCCACACTGGTCTCGGCTCTCTCTTCATGGATGTCTCTATCTCTCCCTCTCCCTCCCTCTCTCTGAAATCAATAAAAATACTTTTAAAAAAAGAAGAAGAAGAAGAACATCTTCCTCGGCGTTCATTCGAAATGAGCAGACGCGACTCGTAAAAAGGGAAAACAAGGAAGCACAGGGAAGGAAAGATGTTTTCCTTCCTATGTCGGAAGGAAAACATCTTCCTTCCGACCCCTCAGGAATCGCCCCCGGGAGGACGGAGCCAAGTGATTAGAAACTCCGCATTGCCACGGAGTGGATGGCGGGGCAGGATAAAAATAGCCTCCTACGAGAATTCGACTCTGTCCAGCGCAGCACGGACGAGACACGGCGGGCAGGAGACACGCTGAATGTCACAGCAAACATCTGTCCGGCCAGACACCGGCTCTGAGACGTCCCAGGGGCCCCATCGCCCTGGAGCCTCCTGCAGGGCGATCCTTGCTCTCGTGCCATCTCGGACGAGGTCAAGATCAAGGTCAAGGTCAAGGGTACCTCAAGCTGCACGAGGGCAGGCTGTGTGCCCACGTCCTAGACAACTGAGCAGGTGCCTCCCTGTCCAGGCCTCTCTCCAGCTGCTGCAATCAGGACAGGAAACACAATTATCTCCCGACCCACGAGGTCGAGAAATGGACCGTTGTTGCCCCGAGACCAGGAGAGTAAGTGGCCTTGTAGCCCGTCTCCCCGTCTGCTGAGCGTGATGACGGTGATTAAGCGGCGAGCACAAGCATTCGCTGATTTCAACGTATAAATAAGACGCCTTAGGCTTTATGGTTCTCCCTCTTCAACACAGCTCAAGCGCTCCTGCTGTCAAAGGTCTCTGGCTGGACTCATAAAACACTCGCTCCTCTAAATTTACACGGAAAGAGCCTATTAACTCGTCAAAACGTCAGTTGTCACCTAACGCAGGTTGGTAAGAAGGAAACAGCGTGGAGGGAAGCAAGATCTTTGTGAGAGGGGAGAGCTGATTTTTATTCACGGCCCTATGTCTGCTCATATCGCTCCACCTGGGTTTTCCCATCCTTTAAAAAAAAAAAAAAATCGATTTCAGAGAGGAAGGGAGAAGGAGAGAGAGATAGAAACAACCATGATGAGAGAGAATCACTCATCGGCTGCCTCCTACACCCCTCACCCCCACACTGGGGATCAAGCCTGCAACCCGGGCCTGTGCTCTGACCGGGAATCGAACCGTGACCTCCTGGTTCCTAGGCGGATGCTCAACCACTGAGCCACGACAACACTATGACAGAGCATGCCTGTACCCAACACGGCCGGCAGCTCCCACGCTCACCGATGCAATGACCACGGCCGACCTTAGAATGACCTTCGGGCTAATGGGACGGGTCCATGAAGGCTGAGGCGGACACCACTGTGTCTGGTGATGGGGAGAGCAGAGACGAGGAATACGAGACAGGAAATTCTGATCAAAACGGAAGAGGCAGAAGTAGCATCTGAGTCTCCCATGCTCCCCGTGGGTTTCCCTGCTTGTGGTCCTGCGCCCAGGGCTTCCCCGCTCGAAAAAGGTCCCGGGTCCTCCTTCTGGAACCCACAGCCGGCTGCTCACCGGCTCCCATTTCTCCGCGGCCGACGCGGGAGCTGGGAGGGAGCAGACCCGGGGCAACCTTTAGACAGAGTTGGGCGCAATCACGCACCGTCCTTCAGGCACGGACAACAAGGACACGGAAAGAAAACACGAGAATCTTACATTGCTTCCTGCAGAGGACTAAAAACGGAGTCCGCTGACAGCTAGCAGGCCACTGACCTTTGACTTGGAACCAGGGGTTTTAGGAGAAAAAAAAAAAAAAAAAACCACACACACACACACACACACACACACACACACTAAGCGTGGGTGTATTTTTAGCACGGGCTGTGATTAATGTACAGAAGCCAGATTCTTTTCCCCCCGAAGGACCAACAAACCATGTCCCAATGTTAAGCAGCCACGGGCAGAAGCGTGTCCGGGACCATGACGTGGCGGCCGGCATTACACACGGGACAGAGTGCCACACACGGGACAGAGTGCCACGCACGCCCGGCACGGATGCCAGGCGTCACGGCCAGCCTCGTGGGGGTCCGGAGACAGATCGTGGGGATGGGGCCACCTCGGTGTGGTTCACAGTCAGGGGGCCCCTGACCGGGGGGTCGTCACCGTCTCCCTCCCAAACCCACCGACAGGAACGGCCCCCCAAGGAGTCCCCACCACGCAGGTCAAAGCCATGGGCCAGGTATCGGCGGCTCCACCTGACACTAATCGGGTGTCCCTACCACCAACCAGGTGTCCCCACCGCCAGTGTTTCCCAAACTTCTGGCACAGGTGTCCCCCTTCTATAGTTTTCGTAACGCCGAGTCCCCCTCGTCCTCGTCAGAACGTAGAACGAGGCACGGCTAAGCACGGTGCAGTGCCTGTCCCCACCGAACTCCGGTGCAACGCGTACCCCCGCCAGACCCTTCCCGTGCCCCTGGGGGTGCGCGCACCACACTTTGGGAAACACCGTGTATCCCTACCACCAACCGGGCATCTCTACCAGCCCGAGCGAGGGTCCAAACCCAGGCCCCGACGCGGGGCGGACAGAAAGCTGAGGCAAAGGGCGTGCGTGAGCTCCAAGGAAGGCCCGAGCATGGTCCTCCCTCCGGGCCTGGAAGAACGGTCAAACCCAGGCCAGCGGAGGGTGCCGTCAGGAGCGGAGCCCCACTCTGGCCGGTAGCCCCTTCCGATCCACAGGGAAGCCTCACCCCCCAATGTCTGCCACAGGGACCGACCCCTCACTGCACGGGACTGGACAGGGAGGTGTGCCAGGAAGGAGGTGAGGGGCGGGGGAGATTGGGGAGGAGGAGGAGGGGGTCTGGAGCGTAAGAGACTGGATCATAAATTCCCCAAGGTCCTAGAGAACACCCACCTCCGGGCCTCTCCCTAAATGGTGCCAACCTGGGCCCATGCCCGCAGGCAGGGTTAGGGTTACAGGAGGGCGGCCAGGCACAGGGCTGCGCGCACTCCCAGGGCTTGGGGGAGGGGCGCTCCCAGGACTTGCGGGGGGGGGGGGGGGGTCCCGGGACTGGGAGGGCGCTCCCAGGGCTTTGGGGTTAGGAGTTGGGGGTTTGGGGGGGACCCAGGCACCGGGGTGCAGGCTTACGCTGGCCGCTGGCCGCCCAGGGCTAAGGGGTGGCGCTCCCAGGATTTGGGGGTTTGGAGGGATCGGGGGGGGGGGGGGAAGGGGCGCCCCGGGGTTCAGGCCTTACGTCTGCAGCTGGCCGCCCAGGGCTGGGGGGGAGCGCTCCCAGGGCTTTGGGGTTGGGATGGGGGTTGGGGGGACCCAGGGGGGCGGGGGGCGGGCCTTACGTCTGCAGCTGGCCGCCCAGGGCTGGGGGGCGCTCCCAGGGCTTTGGGGTTGGGGTGGGGGGTTGGGGGGACCCAGGGGTTTGGGGGGACCCAGGGGGGCGGGCCTTACGTCTGCAGCTGGCCGCCCAGGGCTGGGCTGGGGGGAGCTCCCAGGGCTTTGGGGTTGGGGTGGGGGGTTGGGGGGACCCAGGGGGGCGGGCCTTACGTCTGCAGCTGGCCGCCCAGGGCTGGGGGGGGGCGCTCCCAGGGCTTTGGGGTTGGGGTGGGGGGTTGGGGGGACCCAGGGGTTTGGGGGGACCCAGGGGGGCGGGCCTTACGTCTGCAGCTGGCCGCCCAGGGCTGGGGGGGGGCGCTCCCAGGGCTTTGGGGTTGGGGTGGGGGGTTGGGGGGACCCAGGGGGGCGGGCCTTACGTCTGCAGCTGGCCGCCCAGGGCTGGCGGGGGGCGCTCCCAGGGCTTTGGGGTTGGGGTGGGGGTTTGGGGGGACCCAGGGGGGCGGGCCTTACGTCTGCAGCTGGCCGCCCAGGGCTGGTAGCCGTAGTAGCCGGTGATGCGCAGGATGCGCTCCTCTATGGAGCTGAGCCCCGCGGGCGCGCCGCCGCCGCCGCCGGAGAGGGTGAGGTCCTCCACGGAGCGCGACCCCCGCAGCTCCTCCTTGATGGCCTCGTCCACCGCCAGCAGCCGGAGCTGCCGCAGCTGCGGGCTGATGTCCGACAGCCGCCGCGGGCTCACGTCCGGGGAGCGCCGCATGCCCCTGGCCGGGGCGGGGACGGGGATGGGGATGGGGACGGGGAGGGGGCCGGTGAGGCTGGGTCGGAGGATCGGAGGCCTCGGGGGCGCGGACCGGCCTCGGGCGCAGGTGCTCCCCGTCCCCGATCGCCGCCCTCCCCGCTCCCGGGTCCCGTCGCCGGTGCCCGGTGCGCGGTGCCCGGTGCCCGGGCCAAAGCGGGCGGCGAGGGCGCAGCCGGCGGGAGCTTCCCGGGCAGCGCCGACCCCTCCCCGAGGACCCACCCCCGGCCCCCTCCACCGCCCGGCCCCCCAGCGGACCGGGCCGCCCGTCCGCCCGCCCGCCCGTCCGTCCGCCCGCCCCGCGCGCTCCGGGCGCAACTCACGTGGCGCTGCCTTTGCCCCGGGGCGCGCCGCCCGGGAACTCCCGGATCCCCATCGGCGGCCGCGGGCGCGTAGGGTCCGGGCGGAGGGGCCGCGGGCGGAGCTGCCGGCAGCCGCGGAGCCGGGGGAGGAGGGCGCGCTGCCCGCGGGGTCCCCCCCGTGCGCCCCTGTGCGCGCCCCCGCCGCGCGCGCCTCTCCAGCGCCGCCCCGTCCCCTCCCGTCCCCTCCGGCCGCGGCTCCGCTCCGGCTCCCGCTGCAGCCCGGCTCCCGGGGCCCCGGAGCCTCGCCCGCACCTTCCCGCCGCCCGGCGCCGCCCGCGGGCGCCCGGATCCCCGCGGAGGGCGCGGCGCGCGGGGGGCGCGCTCTCCGGGCACCTGAGCCGGGCGCGCGCGCAGCCGGCAGCGCCGGGCCAGGTGGGGGCGCTGTGCCCCGCCCCGTGGCCGTGGCTGTGGCCGTGGGGGCGTGCACGGGGCTCCGGAGCGGCGCCAGGCACCGCCTCCGCCTCCTGGCCACGCCTCCCGCCTCCCCCGCCCCCTCCCCGGGCCAGGACCTGGCAGGCCCTGCTGCTCCCCCGGGGTTCATGGCCATGTATTTTATTTTATTTTACTTTATTCTATTCTTTAATATATTTTTATGTATTTATTCTTTAAATATATTTTATTGATTTTTTTTTTCACAGAGAAGGGAGAGGGAGAGAGAGTCAGAAACGTCGATGAGAGAGAAGCATCGACCAGCTGCCTCCTGCAACGCCCCCCACTGGGGATGGAGCCTGCAACCCAGGCACATGCCCTGACCGGGAATCAAACCTCCTGGTTCAGAGGTTGATGCTCAACCACCGAGCCGTGCAGGGCAGGGGCCTGTTTTTTGTTTTGTTTTGTTTTTAAAAAAATATATTTTATTGATTTTTTTTTTTTTTTTTTTTTTACAGAGAGGAAGGGAGGAGAGTTAGAAACATCGATGAGAGAGAAACATCCATCAGCTGTCTCCTGCACACCTCCCCTGGGGATGTGCCCGCAACCAAGGCACATGCCCTGGACCGGAATCGAACCTGGGACCTTCCAGTACGCAGGCCGACGCTCTATATCCACGGGGCCACACCGGTGAGGACTTTTTTTAAAATTTTATTTTGATGAGGTTCTTAGGAAACACCGTCCCACACTTTTTGGTGAATCAAGAGGCCATCTATGTTTCCCGGCCGGCGTGGCTCCGTGGCTGAGCATCGACCCAGGAACCAGGAGGTCAGGGCACAGGCCCGGGTTGTGGGCTCGATCCCCAGGGTGGGGCGTGCAGGAGGCAGCCGGTCCATGATCCTCTCTCATCATGGATGTTTCTCTCTCTCTCTCCCTCTCTCTCTCCCTTCTGCTCTGAAACCAATAAAAATAAAAATGAAAACCACTGCAGGCCGAAACCGGTTTGGCTCAATGGATAGAGCGTTTTGGCTTGGGGATTGAAGGGTCCCAGGTTCGATTCTGGTCAAGGGCATGGACCTTGGTTGCAGGCACATCCGCAGTAGGGGGCGTGCAAGAGGCAGCCGATCGATGTTTCTCTCTCACCGATGTTTCTAGCTCTGTATCCCTCTCCCTTCCTCTCTGTACAAAATCAATAAAATATAGTTAAAGATAAAAATAAAAATAAAAAAACAAAAACACCGCAGGCACCTGAGAGCACACCGTTTATTGCCAGAGGACAGACACCTTTATTGCAGGGGAACGCGGCCGGCATCCGCCCTCCCGTGTGCCCTCCCCCTTCACCGTGCCTGAGTCCTTTGTACAGAGAGAAATCCAGAGAAACCATCCCCACAGCCTCGGGGGGAAGAGGTTTGCTGAGACCCGCCGACCGGGACCCCTCTGTCCAGGAGAGGAACCTACAGATAGATATCCTGGCGCGGACACACGTTCACGGGCACCTATTCCGTGTTATAAATAATAGGGTCGTCTCAGGGCCTACAAAAATAATCATTTGGGGTGGGCGCATGCAAACCCATCCACATCCGTGAATATAAGACACATCGCTAGGCTCCTCCTTGGCTTTTCCGTGGAGAAAGGTTGCTACTGCGCCGTCCGTCCCGCTAAGTGATGTCGAGGCAAACCCCAGCGTCCCTCCCGATGAAAAGGAGAAAAAAACTGCTTCTACCCATCGCGGTCCTTCCATCCCACTAGACGGTCCAGATCGTTGGGGTTCGGATGGGTGACAGGCGCCGACCCCGCGTCCTCAGACACCAGACAGTCCTCGGAGCCAAAGCTTGCTCTGTTCCTCTTTCTGCTTTGTTTGGAATGCGACCGAATGTCTTCAAAGTATCGGGCATTCGTTAAAATATTGTGTTTTTTTTTGGCTTTTATATTCTCCGAAAGACGCACAAAGCGAAGCCTCGCCTCTCCCCGCCCTGCCCCGCCTGCCTGCCTGCCTGCCCGGAGGCGGCGCCGGAGGCCCGGCGGCGCTCAGCGCTGCGGGGAGCCGTCGGCGAGGGCGGGCGGCGGCTCCGGGCCCACGAAGGGCTCCCCGTCCGGCTTCTGGTCCTCCTTCCCGCCGGCCGTCTGGTCGGCGATGGAGGAGAAGGACAGCTGGTCGTGCTCCATGATGTGCAGCTGGTCCTCGTCCGGGTCCTTCTTCACGTAGAACATCTTCCGGAAGGTCTTCAGCTCCTGCAGCTCACAAAAGGTCTCCAGCACCACCAGCATGGCCACCAGGCCCAGCAGCAGGTAGCCTGCGGGGGAGAACCGGGTCTCAGCGGGGCGGCCGCGGGCAGAGCTCGGCGGGACGCCCAGGGGTCTGTCGGGGCGCCCCTGGAACCCCAGGGCTCACAGAGGGGGACCCAGCCAGGCCTGAGCATCGACCTAGGAACCAGGAGGTCAGGGTTCGATTCCCCGTCAGGGCACATGCCCAGGTTGTGGGCTCTGTCCCCAGGGTGAGGCGTGCAGGAGGCAGCCGATCCATGATCCTCTCTCATCATTGATGTTTTTCTCTCTCTCCCTCTCCCTCCTCTGCCAAAACCGGTTTGGGTCAGTGGATAGAGCGTCGGTCTGTACACTGAAAGGTCCCAGGTTCAATTTCAATCAAGGGCATGGACCTTGGTTGTGGGCACATCCCCGGGAGGGGGTGTGCAGGAGGCAGCTGATCCATGTTTCTCTCTCATCGATGTTTCTAGCTCTCTATCCCTCTCCCTTCCTCTCTGTAAAAAAATCAAAAAAAAAATATATATATATATATATTTTTTTTAAATGATCAGTCTCTGTCCACCTGAAATGGAATGTGCTTATTTTCCACATATAAAATTCTGAAAATGGTTAACCTGGTCTACCTTTCATTTTTTTTTTTTTTTAAATATATTTTATTGATTTTTTACAGAGAGGAAGGGAGAGAGATAGAGAGCTAGAAATGTCAATGAGAGAGAAACATTGACCAGCTGCCTCCTGCACACCCCCTACAGGGGATGTGCCCGCAACCAATGTACATGCCCTTGACCGGAATCGAACCTGGGACCTTTCAGTCCACAGACCGATGCTCTACCACTGAGCCAAACTGGCTTCGGCAACCTGGTCTACCTTTCAAAGGAGAACCAGATGGCCAACAAGATAAGCAACTGTTTTGAGAAGTTTCTGGTGAGTGAAAGAGCAGGGCTGGCTGAACCAGGCTGCAATCCTGGGACTTGTTTGTTTGAGCTTAATACCCGCAATAAGGCAGAGACACATCTTTTAATTAAAGCTTGGTTCTCCGGTACATTCTGTGGCACATTTTCACATTGTAATTTATAATGCCTATTATGAGTAAGAAATGGACCTGTGCTTTTTCTTATTTTTTAATTACATTTTCATTGATTTCAGAGAGGAAGGGAGAGGGAGAGACAGAAACATCCAAAATGAGAGCGAATCATCGATCGGCTGCCTTCGGCACGCCCCTCACTGGGGACTGAGCCCGCAACAGGGGCCTGTGCTCGGACCGGAAATGGAACCATGACCTCCTTTGGGCTTGGTCCCGGGGAGAGGGGAGGGGGGGGAGAGAATAGGAAGCATCCAATTGATGATTCTCTATCATCATGGATGTTTCTCTCTCTCCCTCTCCCTTCCTCTCTCTGAAATCAATAAAAAAAAAAAAAAAAAGAGAGAGAGAGAGAGAGAGAGAGATTTAAAAAATAAAAATAAAAATATAAAAAGGAATAATACGGCCGAAACCGGTTTGGCTCGGTGGATGGAGCACCAGCCTGCGGACTGAGGAGTCCCGGGTTCGATCGTGGTCAAGGGCATGCACCTTGGTGGCGGGGTGTGCAAGAGGCAGCGGATGGATGATTCTCTCTCATCGATGTTTCTAGCTCTCTCTCCCTCTCTCTTACTCTCTGTAAAAAAATCAATAAAACTGCCAGCACCGGTTTGGCTCAATGGATAGAGCCTCGGCTTGGGGACTGAAGGGTCCCGGGTTCGATTCCGGCAAGGGCATGTACCTTGGTTGCGGGCATATCCCCAGTAGGGGGTGTGCAAGAGGCAGCTGGTCGATGACTCTTTCTCATCGACGTTTCTAACTCTCTATCCCTCTCCCTTTCTCTCTGTGAAAAATCAATAAAATATATTTTTTAAAAAATCAATAAAACATATATATATATATATATATATATACACATATATATATATATTTTTTAAAGAATACGATTTCTACATAAAGCCTCTTGCAGAGGGAACCCCAGACCCAGGAGACAGGGATGGCGAACTGAAACCGTATCCACGAGGGAGCCATCGGGGCCTCTAGGAACAGGTGCCGGTGGGTAGAGCAGGGGGAGCGTGGCCTTGAACCCCTGAACCCCGGGTCCCGTGGGCACGGTGCCGGGTACTCACAGGTGATTCCCAGCTTGTACAGCTCCCGGAAGCGCTGGTTGTAGCCCTCCCCGGGCACGTAGTCGCCCAGGCCGATGGTGCTCAGGGAGATGAAGCAGAAGTAGAAGGATTCCAGAAAGTTCCAGTCGTCCTCCAGCGCGGAGAACACGGCGGCGGGCACGAAGAAGAAGGCAGCGGCGGCCGCGGCGCCCAGCAGCAGGGCGTGGGCCAGCGCGGCCCGCCGGCGGGGCAGCCCCCAGCGCAGGTGCGCGTACAGCACCGGCCGCCGGCTCACCTGCAGCGTCACCCGCTGCACCACGGCTGTCAGGAACAGCAGCGTGAACGGGATGCCGATGACCGAGTACACGATGCAGAAGGCCTTGCCCCCGTCCGACAGGGGCACCGTGTGGCCGTAGCCTGCGGAGACGGGGCGGGAGGGGCACACAGGGAGTTAGTTTCGTGTATGGGTTTTGTTTTGTTTTTTTAAAAAAATATATTTTATTGATTTTTTTTTATAGAGAGTCAGAATCATCGATAGAGAGAGAGAATCATGGATCAGCTGCCTCTTGTACACCCCCCTACTGGGGATGTGCCCGCCACCAAGGTCCATGCCCTTGACCGGGATCGAACCTGGGACCCTTCAGTTTACAGGCCGATGCTCTATCCACGGAGCCACACCGGTTTTGGCAGGTTTTGTTTTTTGTTTTTTAATGTATTTTATTGATATTTTTACAGAGAGGAAGGGAGAGGAAGAGAGAGTTAGAAACATCGATGAGAGAAAGTCATCGATCAGCTGCCTCCTGCACACCCCCCACTGGGGATGTGCCTGCAACCAAGGGACATGCCCTTGACCGGAATGGAACCCGGGGACCTTCCAGTCCGCAGGCCGACGCTCTATCCACGGAGCCAAACTGGTTTCGGCTAAAATATGTTTTTATTGATGTCAGAGAGAGAGGAAGAGAGAGAGAGACCGAAACATCCATGATGAGAGAGAAGCATCGACCGGCTACCTCCTCCTCCTCCTCCTCCTTCCTTCTTCTTCTTCCTCTTACTGGGAATTGAACCCTGACCTCCTCGTTCATAAGTCAACACTCAACCACTGAGCCCTGATGTCTTTCCGGCCGTCTGTGCCATCATCTGGTTACAGGGCACATCCGGAACCATGACATCTTTCCCCTCGCCACTTCCGCAGGCTCTGCCACGCCACCGGTCCCACAAAACCAACACGAAACACACACAGTGGGGCCGGCGGTCCCAGCGTGTGTAACATTCAAACACACACAGTGGGGCCGGCGGTCCCAGTGTGGGTAACATTCAAATACACACAGTGGGGCCGGCAGTCCCAGTGTGGGTAACATTCAAACACACACAGTGGGGCCGGCGGTCCCAGCGTGTGTAACGTTCAGACACACACAGTAGGGCCAGCGGTGCCAGCCCTGCTTTCCACCAGGCCCGCGTCCCTGCCAGTTCCAGGCGGTCCACGCGGCCGCCAGAGGGAACCGCCCCCTGCTCCTGCAGGGCTGAGGCTCAGCGGACGGCTAAACCCTCACCAGCACGTCGCCCTGAACGCCGAACCTGTCTGAACAGGCCCGTTCAGGAAAAAGCCAGCACAACGCATTTTTTCCAAAACTGGATTCTGAAAAAAAAAAAAACACACACACACAAAAAAACCCCACCCAAACCCTCCCGTCTGGGATTGTCATTGGAAGCGGGTTTGCAATCAGATTCCCAAGATCTGTAACCTGCTTAGAAAGACAGGCCCCTGCAAATCCTCCCGCCTCCGACCCCCCCATCCTCCCTCCCCCGCCCCCCCATGATCTGCTTTGTTCCGGCTCCGTGCTGGGTCCGCGTGGCAGGCCAGGTCGCCACCTGTGTCCGGAAAACACGCGGGTTACCCGCGAGCCACGGGGCGGCAGATCCCACAGAAATCACGTGCAACGTGTGCATCTAAATCCACGTGCCTCTTGCCCTAACTGGTGCGGCTCAGTGGATAGAGCGTCGGCCTGCGGACTGAAAGGTCCCGGGTTCGATTCCGGTCAAGGGCATGCACCTTGGTTGCGGGCACATCCCCAGTAGGAGGGGTGAAGGAGGCAGCTGATGGATGTTTCTAACTCTCTATTCCTCTCCTTTCCTCTCTGTAAAAAAATCCATAAAATGTATTTTAAAAAATAAAAAATAAACTCATGTGCCTCTTCCTGTGAGACACTCAGGAGGGTGGAGCACCGTGGCTCTGAGCAGGGGTTCCTCACTGTTGTTTTATTTATTTATTTATTTATTTATTTATTTATTTATTTTTTTATATTTTATTGATTTTTGTACAGAGAGGAAGGGAGAGAGACAGAGAGTAAGAAACATCGACGAGAAGAGTCATCGATCAGCTGCCTCTTGCACACCCCCTACTGGGGATATGCCCGCAACCAAGGTACATGCCCTTGACCGGAATCGAACCCGGGGCCCTTCAGTCCCCAAGCCGACGCTCTATCCATTGAGCCAAACCGGTCCCGGCATCACTGTTGTTTTATTTAAATATATTTTTGTTGATTTCAGAGAGAAAGGGAGAGGGAGGGAGAGAGAGAGAGAGAGACAGAAACATGTACTTTTGTTGCGGGCACATCCCCAGTAGGGGGCGTGCAGAAGGCACCTGATGGATGTTTCTCTCTCATCAATGGTTCTATCTCTCTATCCCTATCCCTTCCTCTCTGTAAAAAATCAATAAACATGGATGTGAGAGAGAGAGACACATGGATGTGTTGCCTCCTGCTCGCGCCCCGACCAGGGCCGGGGCTGGAGAGGAGCCTACTACCGAGGTACGTTCCCTTCACGGGAATCGAACCCGGGATCCTTGGGTCCGCAGGCCGATGCTCCATCCCCTGAGCCACACCGGCCGGGGCAAAGGCTATGCTTTATTTGCCCACACAGGGAGTGGTCTTATTTGCATTGTGGGCAGCTACCCAAAGCAGTGAGGAGAGGCAGCCGGCAGCAGGGAATGAGGAAGAGGCAGGCTGACTCCAGGAAGAAACAGCTGAGCAGGATGCCGAGGGTGGCACACCGTGAGCTTCATGCAACCCCAGGGGCCAGGAATCCAAGCGACTCACAGCATCGGACACACACGCACACGCACACGCACACGCACACACGCAAGGCGGCCGGAAGAATGCACCTGTCACGCGTGTGCGCACACACCCTTCCCCACGGAGCAGCACGCGGGAGGACAGCTGTGTGGCAGCGTCTCGTGAGTCCCACCCTCTCTGAGAACAGAGCTTGCTGGCATCGAGCGCTTTCCTGCGCCGGGCACCGCTCTGCCATGCCGGTTCCCCCCCAGCTGGGCCCGGTGCCCGCACCCGGTGCCAGGGGCCGTGCAGCCAGGAGAGGGCCGCCCACACGGGGCCGCCATCTGTCCGCGCCTCCCGGGCTCCGCGTGGCCCCGGGCCCATCTGCCTGGGAGAGAGGCATTCTCGCTTCTGCAGAATTCCCCGGGCCTGTCCTTTCTTTTTCCTTCCCTTTTCCTTTAAAATTACACGGAGCGGCCAGATGAGGATGATGATCTCTGAAGGCATCATCACCTGGCCACTCAGTGTCCATCCTATAGAATAAAAGGCTCATAGGCACATGGTCCCCTCGACCAGGAGTGCGACCAGCAGGCAGGCCGGCCAACCGCCCATGTCCCCTTCCCCTGGCCAGGCTGGCCGGACCTCACCCATGCACGGATTCATGCACCGGGCCTCTGATATATATAAACACACTGAGTGGCTAGATTATTATGTGTGTGGAGATCATAGTAATCCAGCCACTCAGTGTATATTTTTATAGATTTCAGAGAGGAAGAGAGAGGGAGAGGGAGAGAAACATTAATGATGAGAGAGAATCATGGATCGGCTGCCTCCTGCACGCCCCCCACTGGGGATCAAGCCTGCAACCCCGGGCATGTGCCCTTGACCGGGAATCGAACCGTGACCTATTGGTTCAAAGGTCAGTACTCAACCACTGAGCCACACCAGCCAGGCTTAAAATGCTGATTTAAAAAAACAAACAAACATACTTTAAAAAAATATATATATATTTTGTTGATTTTTTTTTGCCCCCCTCCCTCCCTCCCACACATACCCTCCCTCCTCAGAGTTTTGTGTCCATTGGTTGTACTTATATGCATGTATACAAGCAGACTGCCAAATTACAGTGGAGAGGGGAGGGAGATCTGGGGGAGATAACAGATCAACCAAAGGACTTGTATACATGCATATAAGTAAAAAAAAAAAAAAAAAAAAAAAATACTTTTATTGCCCTGACCAGTTTGGCTCAGTGGATAGAGTATCGGTCTGCGGACTGAAGGGTCCCGGGTTCGATTCCGGTCAAGGGCACGTGCCTTGGCTGCAGGAGGCAGCTGATGGATGTTTCTCTCTCATCGATGTTTCTGGCTCTCTGTCCCTCTCTCTGTAAAAAAATCAGTAAGATATATATATTTAAAAAAAATAAAAAAATATATAAAAATAAGTAAGTAAAGGCCAGGGCTGGGTCGGAGGTGAGAGGGCCACCCCCCCACCCCCCGAAAACGAGGTTCTGAGAGCTGCCCCAGGACGGAAGCCGAGGAGGAAGGCAGGCCGAGGTCACCGAGGGCAGAGGTGGGGGTCAGAGTCCGACACTGGCTCCTGAGAAGGGACAGGGCGCCAGGAACATCAGCACGTGGCTGTGCCCGCGGCCTCCAGGGCGGGCGGGCAGGGGGCCAGCAGAGGCGCCCAGTTCCGCGAAGGACTAAGAAGTCCTGCCCAGCCCTCGCCGGTGTGGCTCAGTGGACAGAGCACCGGTCTGCGGACTGACGGGTCCTGGATTCCATTCCGGTCAAGGGCATGGACCTCGGTTGGGGGCACATCCCCGGTGGGGGGTGTGCAGGAGGCAGCTGGTCGATATCTCTCTCTCATGGATGTTTCTATCTCTCTCTCTCTCTTCCTCTCTGTAAAAAAATCAATAAAAAATATAAAACAAAGAAATATATATTTTTTAAAAAATATCCAGTTACCACCACTGCTACGGTATAGTTGCAAGTAAAAAAATAAATAAATAAATAAATAAAAATAAATAAAAAAAACACACAAATAAATAAAATAAACAGCTCTACCCGCCCGTCTGCCACCCACGGACACACCCGGGACCATCTGGAATGACACCCTTCAGAGGTGAATAATCCCCTTTTGGCTGAACCCCTGAGAATGGGGAGGGGGGAGGGGGACCCAGCTCCCCAGAACCCCCCTCTCTGTCCTAAAAGCTGGGGTCCGAGGAGGGGGAGGGGCACAGGCCCATGTTCCTGCCGCAGACACGCCCGGAGACACACACACACACACACTCCTGGTACAGGGACACGTGGCTGCCTCCGGGCTCGCTCCGGGCTCCCCCTGTGACACGGCTGGGGCTCCCTGGCCCCT